GGGGATTTAAAAATGGCGGCTCCCCGCTTATGCTAATGAAGCCCGGGAAATTCAAATCCCGGGCTTCATTAGCAAGTGCGGTATGCCTACATTACCCTGCTAGTTCGAACTAGCGGGGTAGTGTAGACATACCCTTAGATCGGATGATGCCACCCGGATTTTTTACATATTTTGTTTTAGGACAAACAATTAAGGCATTTAAAAATGGATCATTTGAGAGACCAAACTTTTCTTTGGGTTACACCCGCCTGGCACCGCTGTGGAGTAACTGGTGTAGCTGAGAGGAGGGTTAACCCAAGGCATAAAGGGAGGGGTAAAACTTTCAACGGTTTGTAAGGGACTTATGATGCCACCCGGATTTTTTACATATTTTGTTTTAGGACAAACAATTAAGGCATTTAAAAATGGATCATTTGAGAGACCAAACTTTTCTTTGGGTTACACCCGCCTGGCACCGCTGTGGAGTAACTGGTGTAGCTGAGAGGAGGGTTAACCCAAGGCATAAAGGGAGGGGTAAAACTTTCAACGGTTTGTAAGGGACTTTCAATGGAAATTGGGCTTTACACACCCTGGATGCTGTTGGAAACACTAGTGACCACACTCACATGATCCTTCCTTTGCATCCCAGGACCATCACCAAGACTGTAAATGAGCCTGGACTTTGATCTGGGTGAATTATGGCTGAGTGCCCCTGCTATATTCTGCAGGACAAGGCAAACAAACACTTTCTGGCCTGTTAACCAGTTCTGGCAACACTCCGTCGGCACCACCTGGCCCTGGGTATTGGACCCAAAGCAGGGACTTGGCTTCTAACCGTGGCTCCAGTGGACTTGGGCAGGTCACTCCTCTCCCCTCCGCCTGGGTCTCCTTTGGCCATGGGAGCGCTCCCACCTTGCCAATGGAAGAGGCTGGTCCTGTGGGGTGCTGGACCTGGGACCAGTGGAGGGGCAGTGCAGGGTTACCTGGAGGTGAGCAGCTGTAATTCGGCCAGTGGCATTGAAATCCAGGGACATGGCCATGGAGAAGCGAGTGGAGGTGCTGTTGTGGCCTGTGGTGACCGTCCCAAAGGCTTTGAGGATGGTGAACATGGCCTGAATCTTCTCCACTGTAGAAATCAACACAGTCCGGTTTGAAACAAGCTCTGTGCCTGGCTGCAACAGACCCATGTGCAACCCACACAGCTGCTGGTGCACTGTCCCATGGAGGTGGTACCGAGACCGCTCAGAGAAAGAGAGACTTAATGAGCTCTCTACAGCCTTAGCCCAAAGGCTTTGAGGATGGTGAACATGGCCTGAATCTTCTCCACTGTAGAAATCAACACAGTCCGGTTTGAAACAAGCTCTGTGCCTGGCTGCAACAGACCCATGTGCAACCCACACAGCTGCTGGTGCACTGTCCCATGGAGGTGGTACCGAGACCGCTCAGAGAAAGAGAGACTTAATGAGCTCTCTACAGCCTTAGCTGAGAGGCAGCAGGATTTCTAGCTCAAGTGTTGTAGAGGCTCATGCACTAAGCTCCAGAGGTTCCAGGCTGGGTTCCGCATGTTGATGCAACAACTGCATACTCACCCCGAGCCCTGGTGTGACAGCTACACGTGGCTGCTGCTAGCCCCATTGCATTCATGCTCTTCACTGGGAATCAGACCCTCCTCCAAGTCACAGCTCTGTGCCAATGGGTCCACACAGCATAGAAACTCTTAGCAGGGGAGGCTGTGATGTCACAGTGGAGGGGCCAGCTCAGTGTCATGTAGCTGTTAGGTGGTAGATATTCCAGCCTACCTATAGAAGTCCAGCTGAGGCTTTGTTCTTAAGCTAAGGCATTTAGCATTCGTCTTGAAATAAAGCACACTTGGGGCTGTTATATATGGCCTACATCAGAGGGGGAAACTTAAGGCCCAGGAGCCGGATATGGTCCCCATCTTGCCTGAAACCAGCCCCCGAGGCTCAGGGCTCTACCCCCCAGCACTAGAGAGCCCATCCTGATGCTCCAGCCCCTCTACTGCAGGACTGGAGCACATAAAGCTTACTAGCCCAGGCTTCCCTGGCTTCTGGTGTGTGAGGGGAGTGTGAAGAGAGTCTTTCTTCTTCCTATCGGGGGCCACATCAGTCAGGGTTTGTCTGTTTTTTGCTTCTCACTTCATGCACGGCCCCTGATGGATTTTTCTGTGGGCCAGCAGCCCCCAGCCCAAAAAAGGTTCCCCCCCCCCCCCCC